TTTTTTTAAAATTTTATAAAAAAGAAAGAATTATGAGATCAAGTTAATTAAGACAAATTTGGAGGGCAATGTGACCAGCTTTACACGCATATATTCAAAAGCAAGACAGGCTGAAAATCAATGATCCACCCACTCATACTAAGAAGATAGAAAAACAGCAAATGAAAAGGAAAAAATAAGGAGCAATAATCAGTGAATTCGAATGTACAACAAACAATACCAAGCAAGAAGCTAGTCCCTAAATGACAAATTTCTCTCAAGAGTATAGAAGGAAGGGACACACCAGGACCAACAACAGGGATGGAGAAGGGGACAGCGGTCACCATCAGATGTGATCTAATTAAAAACATTAAAAAAGGACACTTTAAACAACTTAGTGAAAGAAATTAGAAAATTAGAAATGAGGGCAACTTCCTCAACAAACACAACTTTCAAACCTAGGAAGTAACAGAATATTGGACATTCCGCATCGATTAAACAAATTTATAATTTAAAATATTTCAACATAGCTCCATCAGTCAATCCTAAACACTGAAAGAAGCAGTAATAACAATCTTAGGCAAACTCTTCCAGAGACTAAAATGTGAGGGTCCCACCTCAGCTTAGTGTTTGATAGCAGCATGATCCCGATAGTAAATCTGACAAGGATATCACAAGAAAGAAACATTACCATCCAACATAAACACAGAACTCCTAAACTAAATACGTGAATTAGGTTCAGCTACACATGGAGAGTTTATAAAGCACACACAAGTGGGACTGATCCAGGAAACCAAGGTTGGCCTCACATGAGAAAATCAATCACTATAATTTTTATGACCATATTAACATAAAGAAGAGGAAAATCACCCGTGACAGACAAATGTGATAAAACTCAACACCCGTACTCGACAGAAGGTCCTCGGAAACTACTAATAAAATGGAACTTCCCCAACCTGATATACAGTATCTACACCTAACCCAGAGCAAACATAGTATCTGGTGAATTATTGAAAACTTCCTCCACGAGATCAGAAACAAGAGAAGGACGACCACTGTTACAATTTCTATCCAACCATGAACTAGAGACACACCCAATGTATTAATAAGGCAAGGAAGAGACACGGGTATAAAGATTAGAAAGAAACAAAACTGTCATTATTTGCTGGCATGCATTTTCCTTTTTATATGGGACTTTCAAATGCCCATTTTCCACACAGATTTAATTTTTGAAACTTGTAGTGTTTCCCGTAATTGTCGTGACGATGGCCTGGGCTGTTGGTTTGTTGGAATTTATTTGCTCTGAGAAGTGTCTCCTCCCAGCAGTGAGCAGGGCCACCTGGGGCCCTCACCCACTCCACGAGGGACAACGTCGGTGCAACTGGGTCTCCTCCACGACACGTCAGGCCACTCCGTCCCCAGGAGCCCTGCTGGACCTCCTGAGCCCCTCATCTGCCCACCCATGCTCGACCACAGTGCACGCCCCCCTACCTGGCTATGAGGGTCCTGCCTGTTCTGGGTACCATTCAACTTCTCTGGGGTCATTTGGCTCAATCCTCCTTGCTTACAGAGATAGAGATAAACACAACCTGTTCATAAAGAGACATACATTAACAGAAGAGACGAAATTCCTATGAACAGTCTCCCACTTGTAAAGATAACTGATGAAGTAATAAACACACAAAAGCATAAGCTCCCTGAAGACAGTGACTTGGGCCCCCTGCCGTCTCCCGCCCCTCTGAACCCCGTGCTCCCCTTCTCTCCTCACTGCAAAGCCGTCTCAACCAGGACCACAGCTTCACACGACAGTCAGACGCTGACAACTTCCAGACTCCAAACCCATTACGGGCAGACCTTGGAAGCAGGTTCAGGTCCAAACAACACAATAAAGCAAGTCACGTGAATTTCTGGCTTCCCAGCGCGTATAAAAGTTATGTTTATGCTATACTGTAGTCTATTAGGTGTGCAGTGGCATTATGTCTGAAAAAAACCACTGTGCATGCCTTAAGGCAAACCTTCAATCGGTGAGAAACACAGTATCCACACAGTGCGATGAAAAGAGGCCGACCACCACTCAGCACCTCCTCTGGGGAATAACGAGCATCTCGAACTTGCCATGGCCAATGAAAAATTCTTGATCTTTCCTGGAAACCTGTACCTCTGCGCCTTCCCAAAGTCTGCCGGTTCCAACTCCAGAGTTCTAGTTCCTGAGGCCAGAAACCTAGAAATCAGCTTCCTTTTCTCACTTCCCAATACAAAAGTTCAATAGCCTCTGTCGGGTCTATCCACGACCTGAGCACTGTCCAAAACGCCTACAAGGACCACCCTGGTCCCAGCTGACATACCTCCCAGTCCGTATGCCGTTACCAGCCTCCTAGCTAATCTCCCTGCTTCTGCCTGCGCCCCTACTCAATCCATCCTTTAATCAGAAACCAGAACGTTCCCACTACCAAGCGCATCTCACAAATCATTCTTATTCCCCGTATCCTGCACAGGACAAGCCAGAGCCCTCACACCAGCCCGGGGGGCCTCCGCCACCTCTTACTGCTTGTCCCAGCCCGCCCTCCACGCTCCAGCCACAGTGGCCTCCTGCCTGTGTCTCTGATGTCCCAGACACGTGGAGCTGCGCCACTGCCTCGGTTCTCCTCCCCGTGTGGCCACCTCCCCCAGCACACCCACCCCCTCCCCTCGCCCCTGCAGCCTCTGCTCACCCATCAGCTTCTGGGTGAGGCCTTCCTGGACCACGACCGGACTTCAAATCCAACTCCCCCAGCCCACAACAGCTGGCCCTGCCCTCCTCTGGGAATTTAATTTTCTCCACAGCACTTGCCACCGTCACTTAACGAATTCTTTGCTTCACCTTCTGTTTATTTTCTGTTTCCTCCCACTCGGATGTAAGTGCCTGGGAGGTCAGGGATTCTTCTCCGGGTCACGCGCTGCTTTGTTCCCAGGGCCTAGGACAGGTCTGGCACCTAGTACACACTCATAATACCTAGTACCACTCATAACACCTAGTACACACACATAAATATTTAGTGGAATAAATAACTGAACTAATGAACAAATGGAGTAAATGCATGAAAGCACAAGATGAAAGCGCCTGATGCCCGAAGAACCTGAAATGAGCAGAGGCGGCTACTCAGGTCATCCGAGGGCACCTTGCCCATCAGGTCACAGCTGCATACCAAGTGCACTGCCGCTTACATTAAAAAATGCAATGCCTTTTTTTCTTACATAAATTCATTTTAAAAGGAAACTTTGTATCAGTAATACAAGTGAAAAGCCATTACCACGCAACCACAGTAGGAAGCATAAGAAAAACCGCCGAAGCAAAGCCACGTCCCTAAACCCCACTCCACGTGGGCGACTGCACAATCTCTGAACCCACTGCCCGCTGCTTCCTTGTTTAAAAGTGAGGTCACAGAACGCTACAGAGGCGTTAAAGACACATTATCAGTAAATCACTACTCTGGTGTAATCAGAAAAATTTACAAGTTAAAAGGGCAATTTATTTATCTGTTTCAAAATTCTCTGTGCACCACCTCCAAACCCCCAGGGCCCCGTATATGGACTCACGGACACCACCAGTGAGACCACGGGCGCTCGCAGGGCTGCGATGAGGGAGGGGACTCTGCAGGGGCCAGGGCACCCACCCTGCAGGACCGAATTCATCAGAGGTCACGGAAGGGCTACAGGCATGGGACAGACTCTGCCGCTTTGGCATTTCAGCTCAGGCACTTCTGCACTGCAGAGGAGGGCTGCAGGGAGAGACCCGACGCGGAGGAGGCCAGACAGGAAGCTGCAGGACAAATTTAAGTAGGACGGTGGAGGCCGGCACAAGGTAGCGGCCCTGATGACAGGACAGCCGCCTGTAAGACAGCCTCATCAAGGCCGGGTGGGTCATTACATGTAGGGTGGGGACAGCGACGGGGTGGGTCTCTCGGCCTCGGCAGGAGCGGCATCGAGGCACCAGCGGCCGAGAGGAGCCAGCTCGGCCTCTGGCCTGCCAGCTCCCCTCAAAAAGAGAAAGAGACACCACGCATGCACTCACATCCCCGCCAACATGAGGAAGAAAGAAATGTGCCAAAATACTAACTGTAGGTCGCTCCGAGTGACACCTTTACAGCTTTACGTACTTCCCCGGATGTCTACATCTAATAACACCACTTCCAAGGCCACCAAAAGAACTTACGTAAAAGAAAAGGCCAAGTACCTCAGGTAAGAAAGAGAGCAACGGGGCACCCCTGGGCATTCGATCGGCGCAGCTGCAAGCAATGCGCTAAGCATCAAATCAGAGAATCACAGTCATGCAAAAATATCCAACCCAGATGCCAACTCACCGAAGTATCGACTGCTCAGCTTGAAGTTCTGACCTAAGTACGATCATTTCACACCTTTGCCGATAACCAAACACAACCACCACTGACGCGGAAACGGGTCACGTTCTCACTACCCCACTGACGCCACGATTCTCAGAGGAGGTGCTCACTCACCGGCCAGGTCCCAAGGCAGAACTTACAATATTCTCCAAGTTCACCATTCACCATGCTGAAAACAGGTAATTCACTAAAAAGCTACGGAAATTGGAAAGACGACCAACAAGCAGTCGGCCCCGCCCAGCTCCCGCCTCACTCCTGCCCCTCCCCCTCCCGAGGGCTCCCGTCCAACCGAGCGCCTTCTGCAGAAACACACACCTTCCCTCCTTATGGAGGATGTACCGTGAAGAGGAAGGCGACGCCAGAGTGAAATCTGACATGAAAGGACATAGAGGAAAGCTGAGGAAGAGAGAAGGGTCTGATGTCAAGACAACACGCTGACCCGGAAGGCTGCCCGCGGCACACACGGCCCAGAGGGGCAGCGCCCTGCACACAGCCCTGCTGCGTCAATACACTGATGAAGGGGGAAAGGAGAATTACTGCAGTGAAAACGGAGCTCTCTCACTAAAACAAACAAACAGAAAGCATTCTTCAGAGAAGTGACTTTGTGCCAGTCGTCTGAGACCCGGCACTCGAGGGCCTCACCTCCTTGAACTCGTGGAAGACCCGGTCGCTCTGGTGAGAGCCGATGGTGACCTCTGGGAGGTACACAGGAATGGTTGTGTAATTCAGCACCTCCAACTTGTTCTGAACCCTAGAAGGTAAGGCAGATATAGTCACACTAAACATCAAAGTAAATATAACAAAATAAGCTATCAGGCTGGTTCTTTAAAACATCCATGTTGAGAAATTCATCCACGCGCTCCCAAGCAGGCATCTCAGAAGCCAAACTCCCCCCCAGAGACCATCCGGGCTGCGGCGGCTGCTCTTCTGAAACCACCTCCGCAGCCGGGGTCTTTCAAGAGTCTCATGGCCACAGGTGACTCCCTTTGGGGACAGACACAGTTTTGAAAAATAAAAAAGGAGCCGCAGTGTGTTTTAAACATAGGACTACCAGGAATACAGAGCTAAACACAAACACCACATGTCACAGTGCCGCGCGTGGTCTGCTCTCATGAACAATGTGCACATTTAATGACTCTTGGGGGAAAGAGAGACGAGCAACTCTCCTGCGTCTCCCCCCGCCCCGCGCGACGCCCACGCCGCCTGGGGGACCAAGGCCAGGGCGGAGGCTGACGAGGCCTTAGCGGAACTGCAGGGCGGGGCGGGGGGAACTGCCCCGCGGACGGCCGGCTGCACCCCTGCTCACAAACGTCTCCTCCCCGGCTTTCCTCGGCACCGAGGAACACACGAGAGGACACACTCCTTGCCTGGCCATTTTATTCTGAATGCTAAAATATTTATACTTTGTTATAACTTGCTTATTTTAAATTAAATTCAGTCTGAATATAACCACTATACTTGAAGATAAAAAGCATTTTGAGTGCTTTTAGGAAAAAATGTTAAAATAAAGTTTCCTTTCTTAAGGGCTCAAAACAAAGAAAATGATTCTTTTAAATGGCCCCTTTCCCATTAATGACTTAGTTTCTGTCTGTAATGGCCCAAACGGAAGCTCTTTTAAATGGATCTGGCTCTCAGACGCTTTGTGAGGACAAGCCCAGCCTGTCCCCTGCACCCTGGGCAGACTCAGCCGCAGTCAGAACCGCCTGGTCCCAGCCCAAGCCCAGGTGACGCTCGGCCCCTCTCCCATAGAGGACCACAGAGCACTGAGAACCTGTGACAGGCTGAATGTGACTGAACAGGAGGCACAGGCACATCCCAGGGTCACCGTAAACACTGTGTCTGTGTCACTCATATGACAACTAGTAATCCAATAACCTAACATCACTCCAAGCAAACACTGCTGCGACATCTTGCATATGGCTATAACGTACACGCTCAAACATGAGAAGTGTTTCTCAGTTTTAACCGTAAGTTGGTTATAGAATACCTTTCATCAGCATGTATCAATAAAGTACATATTTATTTTTAACACAAATAGAATTATTCTATACTTATTACAGCAAGGATAACTTTTAAAGTGATCTCACCATAAACAATTTCAACTAAAAATGAAGTTTATATTTTTAAATGTTAATAAATATCAAAGTGGGGTATGATTTGATTTTCTCTGTGGTTTGAAAAACCTAACACAACCCTGAAGAACTGGAAAGTACAGACTGGCCTAGGGGCTTGTGTGGAATACACAGAGCAACGGCGCCATCTATGCATAAGTTGGCAGAATTACAGTTTACACACAACCCCCCCCCTTTCAAAATGGGCGTATCTTTGAACAAATATCTTCAAACTGCCTTTGGAGATTAAAAAAATAATCTACAGTGACTGTTCTCCCACTTACTCAAACTTGGATAAACTGCTCCTTCACTTTCTGACTACCAGCTTAAACGATGACCAAAAAGAGCCCGTGTGTCCTGTCTCCAGTAAACCCGAAATCTCAGCCTCCAAAAACTACAGACACATTCTAGATTGAAGATAAGCGAGGAACGAAGACAACAGGAAGCCTTTTATGACTCAGGAGCAAAAAGCAGTGAAAGGAAAAATTCTGTTCACAGAGCACTTAGTTTAATTAAGGAGATTCAAAACCTGAGCACACGCTCTTCACATCACAGGCCAAAGTGCCCCCCCACCCCCCGTAAGAAGACAGAGCATCCTACAGTGTGGTTCACAAAACGCGGTGCTCTGCCACATAATTCCAAACAGAAGAGTGAGGCCAAGAGAGAAAGAAAACAAAAACAGTAAACCATGACTTATGACTCAAAGTGTTTCCCAATTAACAGAATGCTTATACTTTCTCCTAAAACATGTCCAAAGCATATTCTTTAGTTTCTCCTGAATTGCAAAGTTCTGCTTGAAACCCTATACTTCTGATACCAAACTCATACCCTGCAGTTTTTGTCGCACTGGAATTTCCTGTTAGAAAGCCATCCTCCAGGAGTCTTAGAAACACAAGTCGCAGTGATGAAGCAGCAAGGGCGAGAGGGGAGCCCAGGCTCTGGAGGGCGGGAGGAAGGTGGGCACAGTGGAGGCCTCACTGGTAACAAGTCTCCAGCACGAGGATGAAACCACCAGGGCGGCGCCGGTCAGTTATGGATTACGGATACGAACACAAAATGCTATCAAGGTTGGGAAATAAGCACTCACACGCACATAATTATACCCCACACACGTTCGGAGATGGTACAAAAATGTCCTAAACCAATAATTTGGTCAGGTTCTAGACAAAATGAGTACAACTGGTAAATGGCAGGTTTACCATAATTATCTTAGAAAATTCTGGCCATAATTTTCACTTGAGTCTCCCAAATTACGAAATGGTACTTAAATGAAAGTAAACACAATTACCATTGTAAACCGTTATGCAATATCCTTGGGAGGCAGAGGAGCAAAAAACTGCGAGAAGGAAGAACAATACCATTTATTTCAAAAATAATTAAACCAATTGAATGCTGTAATCTGTAAACTGTGAGGGAATGACAGGCTCCCTCTCCATGCTCTGATATCAACATAACCGAATAACTAATAAGACTATGATCTTAAGACACGAACTTTGGACATGGTCTAGCATCTAACTGATACACATTCCAGAGTACCTTTAGGAATTACACTGTGCTTACCACCCGGGGAAGGAGTGGAAAAGGCAGCCCACTGGGCTGCTGAGCCCAGTCTCAGCAAGATGTCAGGGTGCCAGGACAGTCACCTTTTTGTATGTTTTTCACGTACTCTGCCCTGCAGTAGCTAATGCTAATGCTAATGCTAACAAGAATCACATATAAATCCACATAAAGCGACAGCCGGAAAAGTTAAGAGAAGGGTTCAAGTAGAAAAGAAGGTGCACAGAGCGAGGCTTAGGAGAATGCTGAGATCTTTGGGTAATTACTGGGCAGAGGGGGAGGTAATGGATTCAGGAGACCGTATCCTGATGGAAGAGGTAGAACCAGATGATTAGGACTCTGAATTAATTCTAGGAAATGAAACTTGGATTTATGCCTAAACCAAGATATGCCACTGAAGGATTCTGAGTAAAGAAAGAACAGGGTCACTGTGATATTTTATGAAAATTAACCTGGCGGGCGTACGCACAGGGGATGGGTGGGATGAAGAAATGACTAACCAAGGAACGGAGATCAAACCCCAAAGAAGAGTCACCGGAGACCAGCACCACCCTGAGGGCGGGACCCAGGGGAAGGTGAGGGGTCAGTAGGGAAAAGGAGGGTTCAAGCAGATGACCCCAGGGGAGGAAGCAACGACCCCACCCGGCCTCCAGGCTGAGATAGGAGGGAGGGCACAACAGAGACCGCAGGAGGGCGCGGCGAGCTGAGGGCGCCAGGACCTCAGCGGGGCAGTGCTCTTGGAGGCCCAGTCCCCCACCTGCAAGAGGACGGGAACCTCCACCAGGCGGAGTGCTGTGGACTCAGGAAACGTTTCCCAGACACCTCCCAGACACGGTGTCGACGCTGACTGTGTGCCTGGGATCAAGCTGACACCTCGAGTTCTCAGCAGAGGGAGAACACCACGCAGCAGCTCAGGCAGACCTCATCTCACGTGCTCTGCTCTACTGCACTGTGCAGATGCTGCGTCTCTTACAAGTTGGAGGTTCGTGGCAACCCTGTGCCGTCAGATGGTGGTTACGATTTTTTAGCAATGAAGTATTTTTTAATTAAGGTATGTACGTTTTTCTAGACATAATGCTACTGCACACCTAACAGACTACAGTTTGGTGTAAACATAACTTTTATATGCGCTGGGAAACCAAACAGTTCATGTGACCTGCTTTACTGTGAGACTTGCTTTACTGTGGTGGTCTGGAACCAACCTGCATTATCTCTCAAGTTTGCCTGTAAAGATTACTTTTTTTAAACAAGGTTCAGAACGAAATAGTACATAATATCATTTAGGTAAATTTACAAACACATATACATATGTAAGTATCTGACAAAAAACAAAGCCAACCACTAAGCTTTAAAAAACAAAGAGGGACTCCAGGTTCAGCGCCAACAAGGAGACAGCCTGGAAACCACCTCTCTAGTCCTTTACAACAAAGGAAGCTGAGAAAAATGAAAATCAATTGCTTGTCCTGGAATAACAGTAGCAACAACATATGGGTGATTAGAGCACACAGAGTGGAATGAACGACAGCAACGCCATAAGGGATGGAGGGAGGAATCTGCCCCAGCCGGGAAGTGGTATCGCCACCTGAAAGCAGGCAGACGTGAACTGGAAACCACAACAACGATGACAAATTTTTACAGAGTACAACAGATGTGCTAAGAGAAAAGATAAAATGGAATCATACAGAATGCCCAATTAAAACCAGAAAAGGTAGAAAAAAGGGGCAGGGGAAGGAAACAAAGAACAAATGCAACAAATAGAAAATGATGACAAACATGGTAGAAATTAATCCAAATATACCAATAGCCACTTTAAATGTGAACTATCCAACTATACTAATTAAAGCTGGAGACTGACAGAGTCGATTCAAAAACATAAGGCCAACTATATGCCGTCTATAAGAAACCCACCTGAAAGCAATCCAAAGACTCGGGCTAAGAGTAAAGGGATGGAAAAAGATACACCACTGCCAGATTAAGTGAAAGCTGGAACAGATGCATTAAAATCAGACAAAGCAGACTTCAGAACAAGAAAGGATCAGGAATCCTTTACACAGGGGCACTGTGTAAGAGTAAAGAGCTCAGTCATCCAAGAAGAGACTTAACATCCTAAACACGCCCGCAACTTACAGAGCACCAAAATAAACGAGGCAAAAACGAATAAAACTCAAAGGAGAAACAGACAAATCTGCCACTGCAGTTAAAGATTTCAACACTCTCCTTCAGGATCGGGCAGATCCAGCAAACAGAAAAGCAGTAAGGACATGGATGACCTGAACATCACCACCAATCAGCTCAGTCTCACTGACATTTGTAGAACACGCCATTTGACGACAGCAGAATACACACTCTTCTCACGCTCAGTCAGAACATTATTCAAGACAGAAAACACTGCTGACCACATGAAACGTCTTAACAAGGGTAAAAGGGCAGAAATCATACAAAGTACGTTCTAGGACCACAGCGGAATTAGACTAGAGGGAAATTTATAGCATCGAGTGCATACATTAGAAAAGAAGAAAGATCCAATCACCTAAGCTTCTACCTTAGGAAACTAGAGAAAGAAGAGCAATTGAAGCCCAAAGGAAACAGGTTAAAAAAATAGCAATAAAAATTGGAGTAGATGTCAATGAAACTGAAAATAAGAAAACAACAGAGAAAATCAATAAAACAAAGAGCTGGTGCTTTAAAAAGATCAATAAACATGAAGAAAAAATTCACAAAGGACAAATAAATAGCCAATAAAAATACACCTGTTTGAAGTTCAGTGTTTATGAAATGCAAAAATAAAGCAAATGCTTTTCTTTGATATCAAAATCACAAGTTTTTGTTCGCTTCTTATTTTAACTATTCTGGCTTAATAAGGGCTTTCAGAAGACCGGTCCAAGTGTGCAAGCTGGTACACATCTTCTGGAGAACAATTTCAAAATGTGTTCATATAATCTGACCAGGTAACTCCACTTTTATACCTTAAGAAAGTAACCTGAAATGGAACAAAAATAAATACACTATGCTCATTACCGTTACTACGATTATGAAGAAATGGAAATAACCCAGAAGACTGATATTAAAGAAGCGGCAAATGGATTATGCCTGTATCTCAGAGGTCAACAACGTTTTCTGTAAAGGGCCAGATAGTAAATATTTCAGCCTGAGAGAGCTACGTACGGCTTCATATGTGCACTTTTTCCTTCAGTCTTTTAAAAATGTAAGGACCATTCTTAGCAGCTGAGGCCTGGGTGGGCCCACAGACCATGGTTTGCCAACCCCTGACCGGCATCAGTCAATGGATTTATGCAGTGTGGGCAGCCATTAAAAAATCGAGTTTTAAACGTCTAACAAGCTAGGGACATGCTCATATTAGAAGTTACAATACAAAGACATAATGCAAGGTAATTTTTATTTAGAAATATATGAACACACCGACACTTTACAAAAGACTGGAAGAGCCTGCATTAAACTCTGACGCTGGCTCCTGTGGTGGCAGAACTGTAGGTGATCTGGCTCCGCCTTGGACTTCTGTTTCCTGACTTTCTTCTACGTGTGGGTGTGACTCTGACCTCTGACCCTCCCGATCCCCGTCTTTTTTCAGTGCCCCTCCCCAGGTTAAATTCTTCATCATCACACTCTCTCAGCTCTCCCGCTCGCTCACATCCACCGGCAAAGCCTGACCCTGTTCGCATGCAGAGCTCTGCCTCACCCCTACGGTACCTCCATGACCATGCACCCCCGTCCGCGGCAGCCGCCCACAGCTCCTTCCCCGTCCGGTCCTCTCCATGGGCCTGGGCGGCGTTCTGGACCTTCTCCTCCCTCCTCAAACCGCAACACGGCCCCTCCCACCCTCAAGGCCTCTCAGGGCTGATGACCCCTCTCTCATTTCACTGTGAAGACAGAAGCCAGCTGAAGAGAAGCTCCAGGCACGCCTGGCACAGACCCACTTCCCTAAGCCCCGCCCTGTCCCCGCCTGCCCAGCGCCAGCGTGGGAAGCAGGAACTGCCCATCAGTGCACCAGCCCACGCCCTCCTCCAGGGCCTCTCCTGTCCTCTCAGCATCCTTACCCCCAGCCCAGCCACAGGACCTCTCTCATTGGTACAAAACATGCGATTTCTTCCACCTAAAACACACAACAGGGTTCCCCTGGTGGCGCAGTGGCTGAGAGTCCGCCTGCAGGGGACACGGGTTCGTGCCCCGGTCCGGGAACTTCCCACATGCTGCAGGGCAGCTGGGCCTGTGAGCCATGGCCGCTGAGCCTGCGCGTCCAGGGCCTGTGCTCCACGACGGGAGAGGCCACAGCAGTGAGATGCCCGCGTACCGCAAAGAAACAAAAAACACACAACAAAAACAGTGAAAAATGAATAAAATTTTAAGTCTTAGTTTTAACAACTAAATCAACAGGTTCAAAAGGAAAACTTATTCACTTTCAAGCACAGGATGTGGAAAACTAACGGCAGGTCCATTTTCCATACACGCTCATATTAGGGTGCGTCCAAGTGGAAAGAAACAAGTGCGTTCGCTATTGAGAGAGACTGACCTAGCAAAGGGCTCTGCACCGCGGAAGGCCAGCAGACCAGCTCCGCGGCGCTCACCCGATGGGCCGACGGCAGAGCGGTCACCCAGGCAGAAGGCCATGCGAGGGTCACACAGACGTGTGTTCCCCAACACTGACCGAGCCCCGCCACCGCCTGAGCCCGGGTGCCAGCAGCGCAGGCTGATGCGAGCCTCCGCCAGGCCCCCGCCCCGGGGCACTACGGGGGTCGGCTCCCCGGATCCCTCCAGCACAGGGGCAGTCACCTACGCTCACAGGAAAGTGACGTTTCCTGGGTCGGAGCTGTCTTCTCTGCCTGGAACACTTCTGCAGAAGCACAGCTCGTACGCCTACAGAACTTGCCCATTGCTGCGAGCACAGCAGGCCTGCACCGCCGTCTCCCTGGGCTGGAGTACCAAGCCCCACGCACCAGGGACAGCGTGACCACGGTGAGCACCTGCCTCCTCGCTGGGAGGCTGGGACCCAAGGAGGTACTAAAGCAGAGGGTGCTGTGTGACCAGCACCCAGCACAAGTTCTGCGCACTGAGTGTCTAATGGGCTTCCTAGGCAAAATACTGCCCACGTGTCACTGCATCTTTCATGAACAAAGTAGCCCACTCAGCATGTCCCCTTCTGCCGTGGCCTCCCCCACCTCCACGTTCACCATGGCCTCCCCGCCCCTCCTCTCCCGGCTCCAGCCCCAGCAGCTCCTGTCTCAGGACCTCTCCACCCGCCGGCATCCCTGCCCCACGCTAACCCCAGACACTGCGGGGCCCAGTCCTCGCACACTCGGCTCTCCTCAGAAGAGAGGCCTTCAAGCCTTCCCCAGAGCGCCCTCTGTCACTCACCCCAGCCACTGGCTGCCCCATTACTCAGGGTTACCTTTCTCCCCGGCCTTTAGCACCCGTATGGCTCTACTGTTTGAGTGACAGCAGGACTTTTATTTGACACTATATTCCCTAAATCTGGAACACTGCCTGGCACAGGGTGCAAGCAAAATACTTGGTGAGTTGATAACGGCTGTCTATCAATTCACCGCCAGGTCAGAGAGAGCAAGAGCCTGTGTGGAAGGGAACAGGAAGTACGCCTCATATCTGGCAACCTGCAACACAGTTACTCCAAAATTCTGTAAGTTCCCACAGCGGGCAACGCGCCATACTGGAAGCCAGCCCTGCCCCCCCCGGCACCGCCCAGCTCCGGCAGACTCACCGCATCCTCAGACTGTGGAAAGTGCGGTCGTCCTGGTCCAGCCACGGGCCTTTCTCATACTTCAGATACTCAATATCCTCGATCACCTGGACAGAGGAATTTAATGAGACAACATTCAGTGCACGACAAGCCACAAATACCTGGCGGGAGAATCGCACCGTGAAAGTCAAAACGAAAGGAAGGTGGGCAGACAGCCTTCTGTGAGGCGGGGGCCGAGTGACGACGCCCAGTGTGGGCACCTGGCCCAGCTGACACCGGGGTGCTGTGGAAACTCCCTGGCAGGCTGGGAGAAAAGGAGCAGGTGCAGGAAGAATCCAGACGAGGGAGGAAAATCAGCATTCCTCAGACTCCTTATTTCCTCCCATGTAACCTTCCTCCAGAAGGCAGGATTCAGCCACTCGAAACAACAGGACAAGAAAATAAATACATGTCCTAGAGAGCGCCAATAATCCAAGTCCTCAGCCCCAAAGCCTGCGGTCCGTACAGCCTGACCTCCCAGAGGGCGGCCATTCCAGACGCACTCTCCCCCAAAACACACCGAACCTGGGCACCTCTCTTTAGCTTTCAAGAATTGGAGCACATTCAGTTATGAACACAAATAATAACCCAGTCTCAGAGAAAATGTATTACTCTTCTGCTCAGGCACATGCCACAGAAACAGTCTGTCAAAGGAACAAAAATTACCCAAAGACAAACAAAAACCAACATCACAGAAAAAGAAGGCTGGAAGGAAATGAAATGCAACTTAACGGGTCCAAGTAGAAAGAGCCAGGCCGAAAAGAACTGCCAGGGCCGGGCCCAGAGCCGGACTTGACTGCAGGTCTCCCGTCCTGGAGGAGAGAGGCCTATTCCCTCCAACTCTCTCCTCCCCTCTCCCCACGCCAGGAGGCAGCTGAGGCTGTGCTGTCATTAAAGCAGCCGGCTGCTTTGCAAAGCTTTCTGTCTGCTGTCACCACCTACACCCCAACCCCACAGCATAAAACCTGTACTTTCTTCTAGATTTTTTACACCTTTTGTTGTGTGTTTTTAGTAATTTATGCTTAATATATAACACAAAATACGGGCCTTTTTTCTTTAACTTAACAGATGGTCATTTGCCTCAATACCATTTAAGAAATAATCTATTTTCCTCTGTTTTGTTTTTTATCAACCTTTAAGGTACTGACTTTTCCAAGCTAAAGTTACAAACACACACGAGCACACATATGCACCTGTTTCTGCACTCTGTTCTGTTCCATTAAGGTATTTATTGATCCTTGCATTAATACCACAGTGCCTTAATTAACGTAAATTTGTAATATGTTTTCATACTTGGGCAGGAAAATGTTATTCTTTCTCAAAATTTTTGGTTATTACTCACTAAGTCCTGAAAATTGCAGAGGGTGACTTGATTTCACAAATGCACCTGCGAATCTGGGGAGAGCTGGTACCTTTACACAGTTGGCTGCTGAACACGCTCCACGCGGTCAAAACCCCGAGTCCAACTTGGAGGCGGCCCTCCCCGTGCGTGGACGGTACCCTGCACATCCGCGCCGCCGTGTAGCACCAGGAGGTTTACTACTGGAAACTGAAGACCGTGCAGTGCTATAGGATTTACTACTGAAAAAATCCACGTATGAGCAGACACGCACGGTTCAAACCCGTGTAGTTCAAGGGTCAACAGTCTTAGTAAGTCTTTCCCGTTAACTAATCCAACTTTCAGTTTTACCATCTGTTTAACAAAAATGTTGGTGCAGATAACCTAAGGTTCTTTGCAGCTTCACCATTCCATAATTTTAAGATTCTAGAAGCTGAATAATTTAAAAGAAAATCAAAATCTCATGACCAGGGGAATGTGATGGGTTGGCTCAGTACTTGTTTTAGATTGTAAAACAAGACGCCTCTAAGACCAGTAGGAGCTGAATTCATTACCTGATTTGTAAAAACCTTATACGTGAATTAAATTTAAGAATAATTATAAGTTTTTCAGCCATTTTCTTACCTTTTCTGCATCTTCAGCTTCCCTTGCACTGTACTGTAAAACCTCACAGTTTTCACTGTTAGAGAAAACAAGACGACATTCATGTAAATTTCCCACGTGGACGTTACTGTACAAATGAATACCTGACATCAAGGCTCCCACTCTAAGTATCAACACTCCACATTCTCTGAACTGGCTCACGGGGCACGACCAGCTAAGGAGGGCAAGTCAGAAGCAGGGACATGCTCGAGGCTGGACGGTGACAGCTGCAGGTCTGTTTCCTGACTTCCCCTCTGCATGGGCGTGAGGCCAGCGTCTACAGGGAGCAGGGACGCGAGTCATCTCTGCTGCCACGCAAACCATCTCCAGCTGCAGCACTCGCTACAGGAAGGTACAGGGGAGCCCGGGGCCTGAGTGGGACGGACGCACAGAGAGCAGCTAAGTGGTGTTTGGAGGGTGGGTGTCGCGGAGCCAGAGGGGGGATGGGAGGGGCACGTTACTTGAGCTGCTGGAATTTCGGAGACAAATGAAACCCTCAAAATAACCTGTTTCAACCAAACTATTTAACAGGACAGCAGCAACTCGGTTCCCTTAGTCCAGGTCCTTAGTCTGGACACTGAAAAGTCACGCTGGTCCCAAAAAGGGGGACAGTGGAGGGAGCTTCCTGCACGTCTACCCGTTTCCTCACCACATCTACTGCTGTGCGGAGACCTGGCTGCCCAGCCAGGCGAAGATGAAACCCGCCTCCTAGTCAGTGCGCCCTTGCCTCCGCCACCACCTCCAGACCAACCCGAGGGACGCTTCAGAGAGGCCCACTGGAGAGCCTGTCTCTGCAGGAGTGTTTGACCCCGCCCCCCCCCCCCCCCGCCCCGCTTCCAGGAGGGTACAGCAGAAAGGCAAGGCTGGACCACCGCTCCCGTGAACACCGCTCCGCATCTTCTCATTCAGGCGTCTTTACACCAGAGCGCCCCCTACTGACGGGAGCCACATCTACACCAGAGTCAATACTCCAAGAACACAGGGCCCCCCACGCATATGGCCACATACAGCTCCTCCAATACAAACTACTGGAAGCAGAGCTCCACCCAACATTCCTGCAAAGCGGCTCCAGGCGGGAAGCCCGGCCCCTGTGCAGTGTCGGGCAGCAGCGCACAGGACGGCCTGTAACACCATCATAAACAGAGTGGAGTTTCCTCCTTTCAGGTGAATAAATGCATCATCTTAAACAGACTCTGTAGTCACAGTGCCGCGCTACATGTGTCGCGTGAAGAGCAAACAAACATCAACAAAAAACCCTCTTTTTTATTTCTTCTGGTTTGCTCACTGCTTATCAAAGTAGAAGCCAGCGTTCGGGCCTGAGGGGCCCGACTGGTGGTGAGTCTGCAAGGAGAGAGACGGAAACAGAAGGACAGCAGCGCAGCCTCTCGGAGGGGAAGCCCGACTCCGTGCCCCAACAGGTTCGGCTCCACAGGCAGAGCCAGACCGTTGGCTGCAGCTTCCCCTTTCAGGTGGCTGAGGCTGGGGACCAAGAGAGAAAGGAACCAACCCGGGAATCTGGGAAGTCCGTGCGGCAGAAACAGAGGTCCGTTTCACAACGCACAGCAGGTCCAACACTCCTGAGCGACTCTGAACTAACTGAGCCCGTGGCACTTAAAAACATCCAGACCCAGCCCAACCTGCGAGGACGCCGGAGAAGCCTCTCCCTCCAAGTGCGACCTGACTCTAGGAGAGCGAGCGGCCCTGGCACGAGGGACCAGCAGAGGCCGCAAAGGCCCCGCTGTACACGGCTGGCGCACCGCACGTCCTCAGGGGCACCTCCCGACGAGGGCCCCGCACACCACAACGCAGGAAGCTCACCCCGCCCGCAGGTTCCTCAGAATGAGGTGCAGAGAAAGCTGCTGTTTCAAGCCCGGGAATCAGCTGGAAGGCACAACACCTGCGCCGTTACGGTGACACCACCAAGCTCCCAGACTGACCCCGCGGGGTGACCCAGCGTGCAGCACCACCGTCCAGCAGAGACCAAGAGCCAGTAAAAACCCATCCTTAGGAACTACCAGTCCATCACCAGCGAGCCACGGCCTCCAAATCGTGCGGCGACCCACAATGCCCGTGGCCGACCACCGAGGCAGGGATGTGAAAACAGAACTGAACGTCTGACCGTCTGCCCTGACCGTCCACTCCACGCTGGGATTCACCAGTCACCAGAGGGCAACGTGCTGGGCTGGGTTCACCAGCGGAGGAGGAGGCTGTCTGGTCTCCAGCACAACGCAAAGCGGCCCCTCGGGAGCGCTGAACCTTGGAGAGGCCACGAGCTGACTCCCAACGCGGCTCAAGGGCGGAGCGCCAAGTGGAGCAACGGATACTTAGAATCACTGCTCAACGCTTCATGATCAGGGAGCCCTGAGGGTAAGTTCTGGAAAATAACTGCCACGTACAAGAAGAATCCCACCCCATCTGCAAGTTCAATCTAGCCCGTGCTTTGCTGATGCCGCAGCTGAGCGGCCTATTGGAGAACCTGCCGGGCAGCCTGTCGGTGGTGATATTGTAGCCAGAAGATCTCCAAGAGGAACCTTTGGAACTGAAATCCGAGGGCCAACCACCTCTGTTTATCCTCATAGCTCTATACATGCCCCTGGACAAGATTTACAGAACTGGCTTTTTTCCTGCACTTCTGGCCTTGAAAATAGAGCAGTACGACCTACAGTCCGCCCTGTTGCTTCTACTGCCTATGAGAGAAAAGCTTATCACAAGCAAGCAGAGATACTATAAGCCTCAATGCTCACAGCTAAAAAAATTACATTCCAATTTAAAATCAAACTTTTCTTCCAGAACTGCTAGACATTACTTTGTTTTTATTCACAATTTTACAGTTACTTCGAAGTTTTAAACAACAAGAGCATAATACTTTAAGGTATCAAGAGAGGCTTACGTTTTCTAAAAGTCTGAGAAATACTACTAGAGACCTTCAGTAACAGCATTATTCAAACATCCTAATTTTACTTGGACTTGAGTGACAGTAGGAGATGACTCCTTCCACACGACACACACACAGACCACAGAATGACCATCTAGAGAGAATGGATGAAACCACGAATCCCTCGGTGCTTTCAATGAAGAAAGAGGGAGGGAGAGAAGAAACCAAATGGAGAAAGGTCTGGTGGTGTTTTCATTTAACCCAGACCCCACTTAAGAACATCTTTCAAAGGTATGTACAGACGTTGCTGACCTTTCACAAATTCTGTGTGGACTCACTGAGCACCTTCGGGCAAGGCTTCCAGGTAATAAACATGACCATTCAGTTGCCACCTAGAGTGAACACATGAGTTCTCTAACCCTAAAACCTGTCACAGAATACAGCTTCAGCTCACTTCTAGCATCAAATATTCTAAAAACACAACAAAAAAATGTCTTGGCAAAATAAGCAAATCAAAAAACAAAAGTCAACCCCAAACCTACTAACTCAAACTGAAATATCTGCTGTCACTGTTGCTTATGAACGTCACATTAAAACTCCCCAGACGACATCCACTGAAATCAACAAGAGCGCGCCCCTGGGCTGGTGGGGCCTAAGGAACTGCACGTATGGAGTTCTGGCGGATAAATCCTTGCGACTTCCCTGGCGGCCCAGTGGTTAAGACCTCCTCTACCAATGCAGGGGGTGCAGGTCTGACTCCTGGTCAGGGAGCTAAGGTCCCACATGCCTTGAGGCCATAAAACAGAAGCAATACTGTAACAAATTTAATAAAGACTTTAAAAACGGTCCACATCAAAAACATCTAGAAAAATAAAATTAAATAAATACATCAATCCACTGTGCCCTGGGCTCACCTCATCTCAGGAAGGAAGGTCCTCTTATAGGCATTCTCGATGCCCTGAAGGTAGGCGGAGGTGATCTTCATCTCATGTGGCTAAAAAGAAGCAGAGAAGTGTGATACGTTTGGACTTTTCTTTTTCCCGTGCTTATGGAAAATGTGAGACAATCAACGAACAGCTTTCCTAGAACGAGTCACGCTGGGTGCTCTAGGAACTGTGGGGTGATGGGAGGGGCTTCGGTACCAGTTAGAACAGTTCTCATTGCACCGCAGAGAGCACGGAAGCCTGCCCAGGTGAACGTATGGCATGACCTTTCTTTCACAGACTCTAAGAGGTGGACTTAGAACAGGATCAGGAAGAACCCCCTTTATAGTTACAGCCCCGCCTCCCGTTCTGGGCCGTGCCCGAGTGCAGGCGATGCAAGACGACACGCCACACGAGGGGACTGGGAGGGGCACTGGCCCACTTCCCCCCCGAGCCGCAGAACCTGCCCCCGTGGCCCACCCCGCTTTTCTACCACTCACCCCCACCTCTCCCGCTTTTTCCATCTCCACTTCCCTTTCATACAACGTTTGCCAATTTCAGAAACATAAAGCTCCAATTATGAGTGGCAAGTCTCCATACTGAAAACCTCTCACGGTTTAGCAACGCTAAAGGCTAAGTTATCTGTCACCCTGTCTGATTTTCTTCATGGCATTTGCCTTTACTTCCCGTACTTCTTATTTATTTCCTTGTTTACTATTAGTCTCCCCGCTAGAATATAAGAACACACAACTATTAATGACATAATGTTTCTTTGATAAAATGTCTCCTTTACTTAGACACAGTGGTAATTTTAGCTGGTGACAGTATTCATGGAATACTGGAAAAATAAAAATGTTCATAGTTCTAAGTTGTTCCTCAAGATGGTTTCTAAAATATTGCTATCCAGATATCAAAAGTTATCTAGAGAATTCTAAATATATATCTTCATATTTCTCAACAAACGTCACTCTAATAAGCAAAAGTGTTCAAAATTATTCCACTGAATGATAATTAAATACTTTTGACTTGCAGTTCCCTCCTTCCGCCACCTGATGGAATATTCTCCAAAGTCTACCTTACACATCACACTTAGGAGGAAACTCTCACACAGGTGCAGACTGGTAACCAACAGGGAGCCACGGGTGTCACATGTGTTCACCACCAATGAGCGAGGAGGGGGACCCACAGCATCTTTCAGTTGCAGCAAAGACGCCCAGAGCGTCTCTGCCACCTTGGCAAGGACCTGCCATCAGAGAGGCACTCACGGAGCACCCACAAGACTCCCAGCGCTAAGGACGGGCCCTGGGATGACAGATATACAGGCAAGCCTACCTTTTCATCACAATGTCAAAAAGAGCATTTCCTCCCAGGAAAAAATACTCCAGGTAGGAGGGATCTTTCCAAATAAGAACTAGTCAAAAGGGCAAAGACGGGCCTTGTTGACCTGCATCCTGCATCACACCTGCAGAGCCAACCTCAAATCGCAGGGTTTCTAGGCACCTGTCTGTCTCGACGCCCCTAAGAGTTAATGAACGCGTGTGGAGATCACTGCTCTACTGTTTTAGGGTCACTGAGTAGGAAAAAGAGGAAGACAGGCCCAACATATGGGAGTGGTAAACTGAAAGGGTATTAGAAATTATTTTCAACTTGTAGGAAACAACAGGGCATGAAAAGCCCATTAGAAAATCAGAAAGGGAAGTCCTGTCAGGAGATGCACCCATCCTCAGAGTGGCTCAGGTGACCCAGGGTCAGGGGACAGTGGCAGGATGGTACCAGGGACGGAGAGCACTGGAGGAGAGCAGTGAGCGGCCAGGGCCTCCTTCAGTCGCCCATCTCACAAGTGCCCGCTCCCCCGGGGGGACCCATGTGCGTGCCCCCGTCCCTGTGGGGGCCATCAGGAATTCACAGTATCCCACTATAAGTATCGGTGTGAAGCGCTGATCTATGTCAAACGTAACGAGGACACATAAAGAGACAGCGGTCTTGGACTTAAAGGCTGAGTTACGTTTCCCTTCTTCTGGATCCGGCTCTGGATCTCGGGAACGGGCACGTCGACGTAGATGACCACGTGAGGGGGCAGGTACTCGCAAATGGTGACCTTCTTCACCTCGTTGTAGTGGTCCACACCTGGCACAAGAGAGGCACCATTTGTCAGCCGATGGTCCACGGACAGCCCTCAGATGCACACTTCTCTTCAAATAAAAGGCCAAAGGTACACGCGGTTCTCAGAGCCACGTGTCGACCTGCGAACCACGTAACAGTCACGGCCGTTACCGCCAGCTGCACACAGTGGCACACGGCGACCTCAGCACTCACAGCCACCCTGCAGGGCAGGGCTTCTCATCTCTACAGACCAAAAGAGTCAGGCCAGAGAAATCAGGCAACTTATACCAACACTGGGATTTAAGGCCCGGCCTAAGAGCTTTCTAAAGGCCAGACCTGAAGTGCGCCCGGCCACACGGAGGGTGCAGCACCTTTACCCCCTCCCAGCCTGCTGCCCCTCCGGGTCCTCCTCGCTGCTGGCCCCATCGGCCCAGCTGGGTCCACTCTTCCTCTCCCACAGAGCTGAGCAGCCGGGCTGGCCAAGAGCGCGCCCGTGTCCAGGTCCGCCCAGCCCAGCAGGCTGCTCCGCTGCCCGCCACGGGCCTCCCTCCCGCGGGGCCCCCTCCAACCCCGACTTGCGCCCAAGGCTCTCCTTTTCCTTGACCTGCCTTCCCCGAACACATCCTTCAGATAAACAAATTCAAACCTAACCACAGGCCTCCCGCACCTAAAACCCCTCAGGGGCTCCTCAGTACTTTCAGGAGAAACCTAAGCGTCCCGGCCAAGGTGCCCATCCTGCTAGCGCGGCCCTGCCCGCCCCTCCGCCAGCACCCGGCCCCCTCCAAGCCGCACCAGCGCCTGCTGCCCTCAAAGCCCCTGTAGCGGCACCACCAACGGCCCAGCCAGCGCTCACACCTCAGGGACGCTGCCCACAACACCCCGTCTCCCGACGGGTCAGACACTCTCGACACGCTTCCTCTGCACCAGGGACCATGCTGCGCAGCCAGCAAGTGCGCTCACTGCAACCACGCACCTAGGCTGCTTCCCCCCCCCCCCCCCCGGATGGCTGCTTTCCCCCCCCGCCCCCCAGGATGGCTGCTTCCCCCCCCCTCCCCCCAGGATGGCGCGGGCCTCGTCTCACCTAAGGCAGAGCCCGGCACACAGCGCGCACTCCGGAAAGGCCGGCTGGCTGGCCTCGAGGCTGTCGGAGTGTCTGTGTGACTCAGCGCCTGGCTCAGCAGCACGGGCTCTGGCTGCCCTCCGCACAGGCACCAGGACTGCGCAGACAGCAGGACGGGCCCGCAGACCAAGGGCGGCCCCCTCACCACTCAGCCTTGGCTGGCTTCGGTCTCCCCATTCAGGAACCCACCGCTCATACTCTGCGCTCCAGATCTAGCCACCTGCTGGATCCAGGCGACCAAGCTCACGGTGAAAATGCCCACAGGCTGAACGACAACATGGCCTTTCCACAGCCCTGTCCAGCACACGCCTAGCTCCAGACACCCCGGCCCCAACCGGACGGGTTCCCTCACTCCTCACGGCCAGGCTACTTTAGCCAGGAGTCTTTGTTCTTGTCACTGGCCACTTGCCAGACTTTCAACAATCCCCCAACCCAGTGCTAGTGTCCCTAAAAGCACTAGACCAGCACGTGCAGGAGAGGAGGAAAGGACACGAATGCTGCAGTCACAGGGGCCAGCAAAGAGGAGGGAGGGAGGCACGGGAACAGGACCGCTCAGTGAAGCTAGGCACGGGCCACGGAGCCACGTGGCTGTGCCGCAAGGTGGCTGGAGAGCCAGGGAAGTTTCCTGGGAGGCTGTGTGGAGTCGGCGTAAGCTGTGCGTTCAGGATCCAGTACACCACCGTGCTTTCACAGGGAGAGACGAATTTAGGAGGGAAAGAGGGTGGAAGGAATTGCTTTTTCCTGTGGAATGGCATTATTCATCTATTTAACGGATGTTCACAGAACGCATACTAACTGCAGGGTGAGTGTAGCAGGGCCTTTACCAAGTCACCCCATGCGCCCAGGAAGGCCAGCCTGCCGGCCGGACTCACACTGCTTCCGGATGAAGCCCTGTCGGTACATCGCCTCCACAAAGACAAAGTCACTGTAGACGGAGCGCTCCAGCACCACACCCTGCCCTGTGTAAAAACATGGAGACAAACATCAAAACCCAGATAGTAATTAAAGCAACGAAAACTAGCCCTTTCGTTTTAGAAAGGGAAAAAATTATTTACAATTCCATTTCCAAACCAAATATTTTCAAAAGAACATACTTGCACTTCTAAGTGGGAAATCATTTTCAAAACTACAATACTTTTTTGGTTTTGGCGATACAATGTTCTGTTTCATTCTTTCAGCCCTGATGAAAGCATCCGGCTACTAGAGAAAGGGATTTCGTTTTGGAACCATAGGTCCTGCCCCGTGCCCCCCCCCCACCCCGTCCCTGTCCACTGCAACCCTGCCCCCATCCCAGATGCTCAGTAAGACCCCCGGGGCGTCCGCCCCACGCCCACCACCATGGATCTCAGAGAATCCATGATCTTATTGGAAAGCCAGAGCTTGCCTCATCAAATACCCTTTAAAAAAAGCTCTAATGAGCAGCAATCTAAAACGACTGCATTTCAGAAAAGGGTTCAAGTGCAGGACACGCCCGACAGCTACCCAACCACAGATACTGCACCTGTGCTCAGCAGGTGCTCCAAGGCGTCCGCGTACTGCAGGAGGCGACTGGCGTACAACCAGGACTGCAGGCGGTAGCTGTTGCCGTCATTACTTTTCGGGTCGTCGTAAAACTTCTCCAAACTGCAGTTGCTGCTGAGCTGTATGTCCAGGGGTTTCCCATCCCCAGTGGTGCTGGCTGCATAATGGATCCCCGCCTCGGGAAAGTGCTTCAGGCCTGAGGAGAGAAACAACCGGACAAAACATGCTATGGGCACGGCGCATCCCACCAGCAAGCGGCGGAGATGCATCTGAACACCATCGCTGAGGCCGGTCAGCGAAGACCTGGGGAAAGTTACCCTGACACCTGTGTTCTTGGTGCGTGAAAGGGAGCACACGAGACACGGAAGACGACATGTCTGAAGCACGTGTGCAAGGGCAGCATGAAGCCCCAGGGCCGCATGGCAGCATTTCCCACTGCACCGCCGTATGAACTCCTCCTGAGGAGAGCTGCCCCTGAGCGGGGTGCCCGCTGCATGCAACTGGGCTTTGGCTTGTCAAACACTAGAGAAAGGCACGGGGACGACGCCAGCTCCAGAGTCGGGAAACGGAGTGGACGCCTGGCCCTACACAAAGCAGCCTGTGACCCAGCTTCTTACTGAGGTTGCCCGTCCGTAAGTGAGAGGAGATTGTCAGCCCTGTTCCACGGGCTGTTACGCAGTTCAAATGAGACTGCTCCTGTGAAAGTGCTCTGCTTACATGGTCAAGATAATCCCAATTCAAACTGACAACCAGTGTGGACTTCTAAAATTTTCCAAATCTGAAAGACTAAAAACAGCTTTTTCAGTAAATATTTCAAAAGCGTAAAATACCTACCTCAGGCGCAGTTCTACCTGCTCAATATTAAAGCAAAATCCAACTCAGATAAGTAACTGTATATCTGAGAAAGTCGTGTCACTCTGCAGGACACAAGTTCATACCTAGCTTCTCTGCTATTTCTTTTGCAAGCCTGCCTTTCCCCGAACATATGTTGCCGTCCACAGTTATCACTTTGCTCTTTCCCGTCAGCTTTTTGGTCGTTCTTTCACCAAGCAGGTACGCCAGCGGGCCGTACTGCAGCTTGCACTGGACACTTGTGTGAATTCCTCCCTGAAAAACACACAGCAGACAACAGCACGTGAGCATTCTGGTCACCGCGGGCACCAGCAGCTATTAGGTAAATATAAATGCCAAGAAGACCCCTGGTGACAAAACACCGACCTCTGTATAACCTATTTGTTGAATTACTGCCTCTCAGCCCCACCCCCGACGTAAGTTCATAAAGACAGCGATTGCCTGCTTTGATCACTGCTAAATCCTCAGGGCCTGGAACAGGACACGCTTACCACGTTCAATAAAAATTGGATGGACGGATGGATGGACGGATGACAGAAAGGCAGGAAGGAGGGGGAGGGGGGACAGGGCGGAAGGGGATAAGGAACATTTCTCTAGTGCAGGCTCCCGTCCTGAGCTCTGGAACGGGTTATCTCATGCCTTTAAACAGCTCCTGATGTCCTAGATGTCCTGAAAGTACCTGAAAGCTAACAGACCTAAAACTGAAATTCAGCATCCGCACCCCAAGCCCCAATCTGCTCCCCTCACAAGCTCCCTATCCACCATCCACCAAGCAGAACAGAGCAAAGCCACGAGTCACCTTTGATACCCTCCTCCTTCCTCCAACTCCATAATCACTCACAAAACCCTACTGATCCTAATCTGAAGTCTCTCGGGCCAGCGGCCCCTCCCCACCCCCAGTGCACCGATTCTGCGACATCCTCATGTCTCTCGTCTGCAACGCTAATGCCTGCTCTGTCTCCTGTCTCCAGTGTCCCAATCTACTCTCCACACTGAAACTCAAACAACCCCTATCCCTGAAAAACAAAAAACCCCACGGATCAGCAAGGGGAGGAGCTGGAATGACCCATGCAGTACCGCATTAGAGCTACAGACACAGCATGAACTCGTTTAGTGGACACAGAGAAGTACTTGTAGATGTGGGCACGTGCACAGGTTAGTACAGTACACTCCCTTGCTCTGTCTGCTGAGAGGACCTGGAAGCAACAAAGCTCCAAGATCAGTCACACGGAGTACCTAGGTCTTGGTTTCTAACGCCGTTCTCCAGTAAAAGGAACAAGGGCTCCTCAGAGAAATGGCTCGTTCTACGCCTACCAGCTTGCCAGGCCAGGTAGTAAGGACGTGCTCAACACACACCGTGAGGGGCAGGTTACAGGGACACAGGAGCCACCTGAAAGAGCTCCCAGTGGCCACAGCTGGAACGGTCTGAGCAACAAAGGAGAGCTGTACTGAACTTTACCCCCAAATTTAAAATAAATATACACAAGTCCATACTGGTATAAATAAATAAATGCGGAGAAGAGACAAACCTCCCATAAAGAAGAATTCCAAACAATTTATGTGGCTGCTCTGCCTTCGAGGAAGGGAGCCTAACCCCCCACTCCCCGTGTGCACGCAGTGACTCCCCTCCAAAGAGGACACGATGGAAAGGAGGAAGCAAGAGTAGCTTCACAGCAGAGACACTACCGCCACCTCAGCCAGGTGACGAAGGTCCTCAGTGATAAGTCATGCTCACAGTGTACCTTTCATATTATGTGATGAGAACAGCACTTTGCCTCTGTGCTCTTCCTCCTAAGAACACACAGCCCCAGTCAAGTCACGAGAAATATCAGACGGGTCCCACTGAGGGACAAACTACCCACACAGTACTGCTCAAAACTGCCAAGGTCAACAGAAACAAGGAGAATCTGAGAAGCCACCGCAACCAAGAGAAGCAACAGGAGGAATGATACATGTCAAAATGCTCACAGAGTAACACCTGCAACAACAACAACAACTGGAACCAACCCAAGGTCCACTGACAGGAGACCAGGAGAGTAAACTCTCAAATCCCAACAACTGCGAATACCCAATTTACTCAGCTGCAACTGTGTGTCATTCACTCATTCATTTATTCATTCAGCAACTGTTCATTAGATTCCCATACTGTGCAGTCTTTTTGCTAGACGATGTGGATACAGCAGTGAGCCAAAAAATTCCACAGGATAACAAAACAAGTAATTATGCAGCATATTAAGTAAGTGCTGTGAAGGGGAGGTCGGTTTACGGGATGGGATGTACGTTAAAACGGGTGGTCACGGAACCCTCGCAGAAAGAGTGACATTTGAACCGAGACTGGACGGCAGTGAGGGAACTGGCCACGTGGCTACCTGGAAGAGGGTCTCCCTCTTGGGCGGGGGGAACAGTAAGCGCCAACACCCTGAGGCAAGGTCAGCAAGGCCAGTGTAGCTGGTGCCAAGTGGACTGGGTGCGGGAAGAGTAGCAGATGAGATAAGTGACGGGGTGTTAATCATATTGGTACCTTGCAGTCAAGAAATTAATCACTCTCTCCTCCAGGTTACCTCTGAGCCACGTGCAAACTGTCTCCCATCTGTGTCCCCAACTTGAATCTACCTCGGATGTGGCTCAGAGCAGGTGCACAGTGATATGTGAATGAAGCAATCAACTCTTCCCCGACTTCAAATCTTTAGAAAGTGTTTTTTTACGGTTATGACAGTTTTTCTATTATTTCCCATCCTCAGTCCCATTCTTCTGCTCTCTGGAATCACAGGGAATAAGTGATCTTTCACGACACATTCCCAATTCCCTCAATTATTCCAAGTATCAAGCTGTATACCCTTTTCATCTTATTCATTTTCTCTGGACCTACTGAAGGCCATCTACATCCCCTGTAGGGAGTAGCGTCCAGAGGTGAACACAGTTTTACAGGTGGGTCCATCTAGTGTGTGCCCGGCAGCCCCCTCTACTCTGGGGCCCTCACTGTCACTAATGCAGGGAAGTACGCTGGGTGTTACAGACAATCACCTTTCCCTCTTTCATTCTTTCTCTCTTTCTTCTATTTTGCAGCCCGAGTTATCTCCTGAAAACATTTATATGACTTTTTAATAAGGTTATTGTACTGTTCTGTTCAAAATCCTTTGCTCATCAAAATCCTGAGCACAGAGGTCAAGTCCCTCTACAGTTCGACACCAACGTTGCTCCAGCCACTAGTATCCAAAGGAGCTATGATAGTCACTGTCATAAAATAGTTTTCCTAAGGTTTCCAGCCACAGTTCATTTGCTTGTCTTGTTGAATCCGCGTACGACGTCATTCCACTGTCTCTACCATAAGAAGTTCTCCTAATCCTTCCAGATCTAACCTGAACGCCTTCTGCTCAACGTTTCTGCTCAACGTCACATCGCCCCTTACCTGGCCCTTGACAGCGCTGCCACATGAATTAATGAATGCATGAGCGCCCCCAGGCTCTCGGGGCTCGCCCACACCAGCTCATTCGCCTATCGCACAATCGCACTGGGTAATAATATCTGCAACCTGGCCTCCCCGAGGAGGGCGGCCAGGCCGCCTATTCCCCTCCGGGCCCCACGTTCTGCTCGGAGCTGAGAGAAAACGACCTGGAGAAGCTCGCGACGGCCCTTCCGAGGCCTACCCTCGCGACTGAGGACAAAACTCTCCAGGGGACAGTAGGATCCCCCCCGAGAATGACGCCGGGAGGCCCGGGGAGGTGAGGAAGGGGCGGCGCCACGAGGACAAGCCAGGTCCCACCCGCGGCCTCCGCCCGCCGCCGCCTCACCACGCGCTGGACGACCGCCGCGAGGCCCCGGGAGGTCGCGGACACGGGGACCAGTCTCAGCAGCCTCAAGGCCATGGCTCCGCTGTCAGCACCGGCTCAAGGACCCGAGGGGACGCAGTCGCAGCAGGGCCCCTCCCGCGACCGGCGCGCCACAGTGACGTCACTGCCGGGATGTCCGCGCAGCGCCTATCGGGAACTTCCGGACGGCGGACGCAGGCGCGCAGAGCGCAGCTGGGGGCTGATTAACTTCGGGTCTCTCTTGGCGTCCGCCTCCTCTGGACCTTGTAGTGCCCGCCCGCCCGCCGCCCGGGCTCCAAGGGGAGGGTCTCCCGCCGCCCGGGCTCCGAGGGGAGGCCTGCCCACTGCCCGGTTTTGAGGACGCGCAGTGCGGGGAGCCGAGGCCGCCCCAGACCTCGTAGTTACTGCTGCAGCACATCCCGCGTCCAGGACGCGCCCCACCCTCCCAAACTCCCTAGACCGGCAGGTGCGGACTTCAAAACCACCTCCTTGAAAGTGTCTCCATAGCTCACAAACCACCCGAGGCTAGGAAGGCGGCCTGGGGCTAGGGGCGGGGGGTGAAAGGAGGGCCGGCGTGAGAGCGACCCAGGACGAGCGCGGGCGTCCGAGAGGCTCTGAAGGAGGACCGTAGACTGACCTTCCCGACCCACGGCGCTTGTCCAGCAGGGCCGGCCTGGCTGAGGTCCGCGCATCCTCCGCCTCTCCAGGGCCCATCTCCCCGCCTGGCTCGTGACTCCAGGTCTAAGAGGTCTCATACCCCTTGGCGGGCCTGGTGTTGTCAACACCTTGAGTAACATGCAAACAAAAGCTGTCCTCATTCCCCTGTTAAAAGCTCAATGATCCAATGACCGGGGGCCTCAGTTCCTTTCAGGTTAGAAGGTGACTTTAATGTGAGATTTCTTACCTACCAGGCTGCCGTTTGAAAAGCCTTTAAGATCCTCACTCTCCTCCGCGGGCTTATTGTTTTTAACACCCTAACTTTTGTTTAAATTTCATTTGGTTTTCAACTTTTCAGAATGATCATGGAGTTGTAAAAACGAAGGTCCTTTCAATGGCTGTTTCTCTAATAAGAGAATCCCTGCTTGTCCAGAATACAGATTCCTAGTCCCCAGTGCCAGAGGGTCTGATTTAGAAGATCTGAGATGGGCCCTAAAATGTGTTTAACAAGCTTCCAGCTAATTCTGATGTCAATGAGCCACATCGAGAGAATAGTGTTCTACACCCTGCATTGTCCGGCAGCATGGGCCACTTCCAGATCCTACACCACTGTGCCCCCAGCCCCAAGCAAAGCTCCTAACACATCACAGGTGCACCTCAAATACAGCTGGATGAGCAGGCGTGACCAGGTAGCCCTAAGTCATCCAGCCCTGTGGAATCACCGCTTGTTACCCAAGGCGTGGCTCTATATTCTGATGTGTCTGAGAAGCTCCGTGTCCTTGCCAGCGCGTCTGAGAAGTCCGGGGGGGTGAGGGCGGGGACACCTCCCTGTCAGACTCTCTGGCCTTGTGTCACTGTCCACATCATTTGCATCTTCCCTCCAGCACTCCGGTTGTCTTTCCTGCTTCACCCCAAGCAAACACACATCCTTCATCTCACTTCCCAAGAAAAAGTTCTGTGTTTAACAACTTTTACTGATGCCCTAGCGAAAACGGGAGAGCGATCCCAGTAGGAAACAAAATAACCTTAAATTAAATATAGGACATCACTGTCTTAGGACTAGGGAAAGAATTCTTTGGCTTGACACCAAGTGCATAATACAAAAAAGGAAAAATTGGTAAACTGGACCTCATCAAAATTTTTAAAAAGTTTTGCTCTGTGAGAAACCCTTAGAGGATGAAAAAGCAACTGTGGGGATGGGGGTGGAGGTGGACACCTGCAAACCACAGGTGTGACCAGGCACTTGCATCTAGAACACATAAAGAAATCTCAGAACTGAACAGTAAGAAGTAATCCAATTAAAAAGTGGGCAAAAGACATGAACAGACATTTCATTGAAGAGGTTATACACATAGCCAATAAGCACATGAAAAGATGTTCAACGTGATCAGCCATTAGAAAAATGTAAATTAAATCCACAATGAGATACCACTTCACACTTATCAGAAAGGCCAAATGAAAAACATAGTGATAACACCAAATGGTGGAGAAGATGAAGAGAAGCTAGTTCGCGCATACACTGCTAGTAAGAATGTGAGAAGGTACAGCCGCTCTGCTAAAGAGCAGTTTAGCAGTTTCCAAATTAGAAAAGGTGTAAAACTAAAAATGAACTGTAATACAGCCTAGCAATTACAGTCTTAAACATTAACCCCAGAGAAATGAAAATTTAGGTTCACAGAGAAACTCGAATGAACGTTCGTAGCAGCTTCATTCCTAGCAGCTAAAAACTGAGAACCACCCACCTGTTCTTCAAAGGTGAACAGCTAAACAAAGTGTGGTACATCCATACCATGGAACACTGCTCGGCTAGAAAAACCAATGGACTGTTGATACAGGCAACAGCCTGGACCCCTGGAGAGAATTATGTTGAGTGAAGAGAGTCCATCTCAGAAGATTACATACAATGTAATTCTGCTTAAGTAACATCCCTGAAATAACAAAATTATATAGAGATGGAGAACAGATTAGTGGTCACCAGAGGCTAGGGAATGGGGGGTTGTGATGGAAACGTTCCATATCTTGATGGTGGTGGTCCACGAAGCTACACAGCTGACAAAATAGCATAGAGCTACAAGCGTATCTGCGTGCATGTGCACGCACACACACACAGGTGCACGCACATAGGTGAATGCATGTATAACTGGTAGAATCTAAGTTCCATGGATTGCATCAAAGTCAGTGTCCCAGTGTGGAGGCTACCATCATGTAGGACAGTGTCATCGGGGAAGACAGGGTGAAGGGTGCACAGAACCTCCCTCCATCTTTCTTTGAAACTTCCTGTAAATCTGTAATTGTTTCAAGAAGAAAGTTTAAAACATTGTGTTCTATGTACCAGCAACAAGAGAGATAAAAATTTTTAATTTTAACTTTAAAAATTTAAAAGAAAGGATGTCATTTGTGTTAGAATTTTGTTTAAAAAACCCAAAAAACTCAAATCCCCAGAAACATGTGAAAGAGCCCTACACTGAAAACCACAAAAGTATATCAAGAAATTGAAGGACTTGCAAATGAAGAGAGGATTTGCCGTATTCTTGGATCAGAAGTCTCAAAATTGTAGAGGACAGTTACCTCCAAATTGATCTATAGATTTAATAGAATCCCAATAAAAAGCCCCCCAAGTTTTCTTTTGTTGAAATCGACAAGCTGATTCTAAACTGTATCTCCCCCAACCCCCATTGGGAAGGACTAAGAATAACCAAGGCGACCTTGAAGAAAAAGAACGAGGACAGAGGATTTACTACCAGGTATCAAGATATATGAGGAAGCTGTAGTAATTACAACAGCATGGTATTAGTGCAGGAATAGACAAACAGACCAATGGGACAGAATGAGGAGTACAAAAAGAGATAAGGGTAGATAGATAGATAGATAGGTATTTGGTTTATGAAAAGAGTGAGGTTGCGGAGGGGAAAGCATGGTCTTTTCAATAAATAGTGGGTTCCTGTCAATTTCATATCCCTATAGAAAAGAATTAATGTTGACCCATATCTCATACCATAAATAAAAATCAGTTTTGGATGGACTGAATCTAAACATGAAAGGTAAGACAACAAAGCTTCTGGAATTAAACAGGAGAATATCTTCATGATCTTGGAGGCAAACAGATGGAAAATAAAGGGCTAACTATAAACGGGGAAAATGAACAAATTGGACATCAAAATAAAAACCTTCTCTTCATCAAAAGACACCATTAAGAGAATGAAAGGCAAGCCCAGCCACTAGGGCAGTTTTGCAGTAAATATAACCAACAGAGGGCATGGACCCAGAATATGTAAGAACTCCTGCATGTTAAAAAGAAAAAGTGACTCAATATAAAAATAGGCAAAAGACCTGATTGCAAGAGCCCTCCAGAAAGGGCACATCCGGAAGGACATTAAACCACTAAACTTACAGAAGTGCCCAGCAGCCTTGGTCATTGGAAATGCGAGTTAAGGTTGCAGAGAGAACTTCTTCTGCAACCCCAGAAGAAAGGCAAATAGAGAATGCTTAGCGTGCCAAGTGTCGGCAAGGATATGCAGCTACCGGAATTCCCACGCACCCACTTGGGGAAACAGTCTCGCCGTTTCTATGAAGCCTGATCATACATGAATCTTTTGTTGCAGGAACTGTAGGCGTAGCCTTTATGTACGTAGGTCTGGCCTAGCACACAGCTCACAAAACTGTATGTACATTCATGAAAAGACACAAATCAGTTATTTATAGCGGCGCTATCCGTAATAGGCAGTACCCATAATTCTATCCCCAACAGTAAAATGCATAAACGTGTTGTGATGTATTTGTACTGTGGGATATTACACATTAGATGCATGTATTATTGCTACATGCAGAAACATTGAGGATTCACTCAAACATCATAATGAATGCAAGAAGTCAAACGTAAAATCATCCTTCATGGTTTTATTCATAAAAACGTCAAAAAGTAGTATCTGGTGTTAGAAGTCTGGATAGTGGAAATCTTGGGGACGGGCCGTGAGGGTAGCTTCTGACTCTTGATCTGGGTGCTGGTGACATAAGTGTGGTTCTTTTGTGAAACCAAATCCGGATGAAGACTTTTTATTATTTATTATTTATTCACAGTTCTGTAGGTTTGCTAAATTTCATTTTAAAATTTACTTTAAAAAACCTAAGGTGGGGGCTTCCCTGGTGGCGCAGTGGTTGAGAGTCCGCCTGCCGATGCAGGGGACGCGGGTTCGTGCCCCGGTCCGGGAAGATCCCACGTGCCGCGGAGCGGCTGGGCCCGCGAGCCATGGCCGCTGAGCCTGCGCGTCCGGAGCCTGTGCTCTGCAAGTGGCCACGTACCACAAAAAAAAAAAAAAACCTAAGGTGGGAATTCCCTAGTGGTCCAGTGGTTAGGACTCTGCACTTTCACTGCTGAGGGTGCGGGTTCGATTCCTGGTGGGGGAACTAACATCCTGCAAGCTGCGTGGCACAGCCAGAAATAAACTAATTAATTACATAAATTGTCACTATTAAAGAAAGTAAAGTGTCCTATAAGGTGTTGTTTTTATTATCACCACAGATTAGACTACAGGACATTTAACTGTGCTACTGTGAAAGTTGACCTAAGTCCAGAGCCTTTTTCAGAGCATCCTTGAATTCTTTGTTCCTCAGACAGTAGATCAAGGGGTTGATGACTGGGGGGAGGACAGTGTAAACAGCAGAGATGAGCTTGTTGGAGCTCCGGGAATCCATGGCCTGGGGCCAGACGTACATGAATATCAAGGCCATGTAGAAGGTGGTGACCGTGTGGGAGGCGCGGGTGGAGAAGGCTCGCCGACGGCCGTGGCCGAGGGGACGCGCGGGACGGCTAGGGTGATGTGTCCATAGGAAAGCATGGTGGCCACGAGCGGGAACACCAGGATGCTGAAGGTCAGGACGAAGCCGACCAGCTCGGTGGTCGAGAAGTCCATGCAGGCCAGCTTGGGGATGGGGGAGATGTCACAGAAGATGTGCTTCAGGACATTGGAGCCACAGAACATGGTGCTGGAGATAGAGGAGACCTTGATCACAGAGATGGTGAAGCCACTCACGAAGGCGAAGGCCACCAGCTGGACGCACAGCCCCATGGTTATGATGGCTTGGTAGCCGTCGCAGGCCATGGAGGCCAGGAGCACACGCCCGGTGCACACCAGGAAGCTGAAGACGTAGAGCTGAGTCATGCAGCCAACGAAGGAGATGCGTCCCCGCTGCATGAGGAAGCCGTCCAGCATCTTAGGGATGGTGTCAGAAACGTACCAGATCTCCAGGGACGACAGGATGCCCGGAAAGTAGTGCATGGGCCTGTGGAGGGAGGAGCTGCCCCAGATGGTGAGGATGACGGCCAGGTTCTCCACCAGCACGAAGAGGGAGGCAGCCGGGGCCGTGAGGAAGCCCACCAGCATGAAGGTGCCGACCTCAGTCACGTTCTCCCCTCATCCTTCCGTGTGGGGAGCCCAGGGCTGCAAACCAGCTTCGTGCCAGATGAGGGCCGAGGACAGCTGGGGAAGAAAGCACAGCTCAGCCTGGGGGTGAATTTTGGCCCAAGGAGGGGACAGCTGGCTCCTGGAGCAGCAGGAGAGCAGAAAGTGTCTCCAAGTTAAGCTTTTACCACTGAACATGGCAGCTCTAGGTCTCCTGGTGACCCGTGGGCCTCCAGAACACGCTGCCCTTTTTCTCCCCCAGGCAATCTTGAAAGCATCTAATTGCTCTTATAGCCCAGACTTTCCCAAGGAATCTAACAACAGTAAGGACGCACAGCCCTTCGCCACAGGGTCATCTACACTAGTAGGTGCTTGGCCTTTCACCTGGTTTCAGAGACAACTGTACAAGAGGAAGGGACACCAGGAGGGCTCATGGGATGCTGGGGTGTGTGGCAGCCAGCTTAACCAGACCCCAGACCCATGCGGTCCCTCCACAGGGCTGGGGGTCTGCAGGAGCAGAAGCAGCCTCCCAGGCCAAGAGGGGAGAGTGGTCACGTGTCTGTCTTTGCACCATGTCAAGGCCCCCTTAAAATATGGTAAAGGAAGAAAAAGATAAAACCCCATAACATCAAAAAGATCTGGAGGGAGTATCAGCAAGGGGAGGTGTCAACACGATTCTGGAGGAGAGAAAACAGAAGGCAGAGGGTGGCTGGGCGGCAGAGGGGAGGAGTCCAGAACATTCTCGAGGGACCTGTCGCTGAGGGAGAGGCCACCTGTCCAGCACGTGACGGGGTGATGGGGGAGTGAAGGGGGCATGAAAACAGGGCTCCTACATGCAGTGTTTCCAGAGCAGTCCGGTGGCCGCGCCAGCACGCTCTCTCCATCCTGCAGGTGGGTCCCCCAGAGCCAGCCTCAATGCCATAAAGGAGCACCTAGCCCTTATCAAGTGTCAGACGTATCCACATAAACCCCCCCTGTAATCCTCACCACGGCCCTGGGAGAACAAGGCTCACATTCTTCAGATGAAAATCTGAGGCTCACAGTGGACAGTTCAACGACTTACGCAAGGTCGTGGCAGCACCAGTGCACACCGGGTCCTCAAACGCCAAGGCTGCGGCTCTTCCCGAGGGATGTCAACAAGAGAAAAAAGTCAACCCATTTGGGTGTGGGCTAGAAATTTGGAATTGTTAAGATGGACAGTTAGAGTTTCTGGTTGCCCCCTGACACTATTCTAACAGGCTATAAAATGAAAGTTCACAAAATAAACAGTATTGGCCAGAAGAAAAGGCAAAGATTTACGCAGTGGTTCTTTTTTTTTTTTTTTTTTTTTTTTGCGGTACGCGGGCCTCTCACTGCTGTGGCCTCTCCCGTTGCGGAGCACAGGCTCCGGACGCGCAGGCTCAGCGGCCATGGCTCACGGGCCCAGCCGCTCCGCGGCACGTGAGATCCTCCCGGACCGGGGCACGAACCCGTGTCCCCTGCATCGGCCGGCGGACTCTCAGCCACTGCGCCACCAGGGAAGCCCAGTGGTTCTTTTTATAGCTTCATTTTACAGATGAGGAAAATGACACACCAAGAGCCTAGGCGATTCCTAAAGGCAGTCGGTCATGCAATGGTCAGTGTTAGAGCCTCAAAGTCACCACTTTCCGAGAGCACTGACAAGTGAAGACAGAAACCTCAACATCACGACAATATAAACACAAGAATTGTTCGGGGTGCTTCAGAGAAAGCCAGTGGCCTCAGATGCTTCAGCAGCACGAATCTTCCCTTTATACCAGGAGCAGAGCTTCCTCATGTTTTGTAAACTGTCACAGGGCATGGGAATTTCCTCCCAATTCATTTCACAAAGTGGCAAATTCCTTTGCACAAAAGGAGAACTCTATGCCAATTTTCTTTTTTTTTTTTTACTATAGTTACAAAAATCAGATAAAAAGCCAGCAAGTAGCACCCAGCAGCACATGAGGAGGGCACACGCTGCAGACAAGCCAGCGTGCCGCCGCTCGGAGTGCAGGGAGGCTGCCAGGCTGGCAAAGTGACCAAAATGATCACACGGGAGCCCAGCTGCTGTGGAAAGGCTTAGATTAAAAACCATTCCAAACTTGTTATACATTTGTCATCCCCAAATAAGGGGTTTATTTTCATATATAAATAATCTCTGACTCAACATAGAAAACAAACTTATGGTTACAAATGCGGAAAGGGGGGTGATAAATTAGGAGTTTGGGATTAACAGATACACACTACTATATATAAAATAGGCAAACAACAAGGACTTACTGTATAGCACAGGGAACTCTACTCAATATCTTGTAATAACCTCTAATGGAAAAGAATGAAAAAGAATAGATATATATACACATTATATATATATTTATCTGAATCACTTTGCTGTACACCTGAAACTAACACAACCTTGTAAATCAACTAGACTCCAATAAAAATTTAAAACCAAAAAAATCTCAGTACCATTTGTTGTAGATTCTTTTAGCAATGGCTTCTGATAAATCATGACATCAGGTAAAAAAAATAATAATAATCTCTTAACCAACAGCCTGTAACATCCCTGTGGTTGACACCAGCATCACTCCCGTCCCACTGAGATCAGGATGAAGATGAGTCTTCTTCTTAACCACCACTACACAACAACACTGCCCTCTGCTACCTACTACAGAAAGGAGAAAGTAGACAAAATTACCATTATTTCCAGATAACATGGCTTTTATTTATTTTATTTTTTTAACATCTTTACTGGAGTATAACTGCTTTACAATGGTGTGTTAGTTTCTCCTGTGTAACGAAGGGAATCAGCTATACATATACATATATCCCCATATCCCCTCCCTCTTGCGTCTCCCTCCCAGCCTCCCTATCCAATAACATGGCTTTTAACTTAGAAAATCCAGAACCTTATTATAATTAAGGGATTTCAAAACTGATATTATAACTGTCTTCCTATATCCAGCAATTAATAACAAAGACGTTCCTTGATGAGAAAAATATATGGTAAAGCTATCAATATTTCCAAATGGATTTTAAAATTTAATTCGATTATAGTTGAAATCTCACCAAATTTTATTTTTCTTAAAACAGAATGAAGGGCTTCCCTGGTGGCACAGTGGATAAGAATCCGCCTGCCAATGCAGGGGACACGGGTTCGAGCCCTGGTCCGGGAAGATCCCACATGCCGCAGAGCAACTAAGCCCGTGCACCACAACTACTGAGCCTGCGCTCTAGAGCCAGCAAGCTACAACTACTGAGCCCGCGTGCCACAACTACTGAGCCCGTGCGCCTGGAGCCCGCGCTCTGCAACAAGAGAAGCCACCGCAATGAGAAGCCCGTGCACCACAACAGAGTAGCTCCCGCTCACCGCGACTAGAGAAAGCCGTGCACAGCAAGAAGACCCAACACAGCCAAAAATAAAAACAAATAAATTAATTTAAAAGAACAGAATGAAATAATTCTTAAAATCATCTGCAAGTATGAACAGATGGGAATAGCAAATAAAATTCATGAAAAAGAAAGGAGAGGATTAATGAAGTGGACTTGCTATTTTGGAGATAAGAAAATACAATAAAATGGAACTGATAGTTTAGTAAAATAAATGTTAAAAATAATGAGTACTGCCATTTAGTCAATGGGCCAGTGTGGAAACAGTGTAGAAAGTCCTAAACCAGAGCTCATGGGATATAATTAGTGAGGAAAGCGTGGATTGCTTAATAAGTGATGCCAAGGTCGTAGGTTAAATATTTGTTAAAAAACGAAATGACTCTTTTCTCTGTATGTTACATCAGAAAGCAAACCTCCGCTGGATAAAGCATCAGTACTTGCAGCCCAGCAGTCCCAGCCTCCTTGTCCACGGACACCAGTGGAGCAGAGAGCATGGCCGGCAAGCGTGGAGGCATAATCGACTCGCCAGGGGCCTGCCTGCTCCTCGGTTTCCTTTGAGCTTTGGTTGTTAGAGAATAAGTGAAAGATTTAGATGAGCAACATTTTAAGAATACCTGGGGGGCAGGTTTCATGGCGGGGCAGAGGGAGAATTTAAATGAAGCCTGAGCAACGCTGCAGGTCCCTCCCAGACACCATTGAGTTATTACGACCCTTTTTATCCTACACGTTTTATAACAGAAAACTCTTTACACCCCTCACTTTTTTTTTTTTTTTTTTTTACAGTACGCGGGCCTCTCACCGCTGTGGCCTCTCCCGTTGCAGAGCACAGGCTCCGGACGCGCAGGCCCAGTGGCCGTGGCTCACAGGCCCAGCCGCTCCGCGGCATGTGGGATCTTCCCGGACCAGGGCACGAACCCGCGTCCCCTGCATCGGCAGGCGGACTCTCAACCACTACGCCACCAGGGAAGCCCTACACCCTCACTTTGATCATCGTTTTGGAAAATCAGCACATTCCACACAGAAGCACAGATTTCTTGCTTCTCCTGAACAGTTGGAAGGGCTGGGGCAGCTTCCATGTCCCCGTGCACCTGGAAGGGCTGGACCCTTGGGCAGGGCGAGAATGGCCCTCTCAGCGGGCAGCACCTGCAGCTCCTTTGTGGTCTGGCTCCAGCTGTGGGGTGCGGGGCTCCTGCCTCAGAGCCGAGCCACCCCTGCAGCTCTGCTCACGCCCCGCAACCAGTCTCCTTGGGCACATGCTTCCCGCCCTCTCTCCTCCGGGCTCTCCTGTTTGCCCCTGTCTCCGCTGAGTCCCCAGACGTCCCCCCGACTTGGCATCTCTGTCACGCCTGGACCCCTCTCGTCCATCAATGCTCATGGGCAGCCATGGTCTGGGTTCCTGCCCCCTCGGCCCGCAGCCACCTGGCTTCTGTCCCCACACGCCGCGGACCGGTGGCCCCCCAGATGCCAGTAACCAGCCCTTCCCTAATTTCTGGGGGATGTTTCGTTCCGTCTCCACTCGCCTCGCCTCCGCATTTGGTGCTGTGGCCCCAGCCTTCTGCTCTCACTGTCCACACTCAGCAAAGCCACCCACCTCCAGTCTCCACCAGATGACGCCCGCACCGCCCTGTCTGTCTGCAGATCCCACCCGTGCGTCCAGCCGATGACAGGAGGCCTCCACGGGCCCTGGAGTCCACGCCCTCCTCGTGTTCATCTCGGACCAGGGCACCACCATCTACCCCGCTGCCCGGGCGGACACCAAGCTTCGGCTCTCCTTACCCCCGCGGCTAAGACAAGGCCGGTCCCACCCCTCCCACAGCCTCACGTCTCTCCAGCAGGCTCCCTTGCCGCCACCCTCGTGGGCTTCCTCCAGCCACCGCGAATTCGGGCTCCATCACCGCACCGGAATGATCGTAACCAAAACTCTGACTGGTCCTCCTCCACAGTCCCTGACTCCATCTGGTCCACCCTGCGCGGGGCAGAGAACTGCACGCAGATCCCTCTCCCAGCCGCATCCGTCCAAACGCCGCTCTCCTGAGCAAAGCCCTCTGCTGCCCCCTCGCTCCTGTCTGTCCCCGTCCTGCCCGAGGAATCACGTTCAGTCCCTGAGAGCCCCTTGCTGACCTCAGGTAGCCCTGCCGCCCCGTCACCAGCGGAACTTGGGCGTCCGTCAGGTCTCAGCTGTGATCTCCTCCCGAGGGCTCCCTGGGCTCCCAGCGCTGCTATGAGATGCCCCCAAAGGGAGAGCTCAGGATTTGGGTGCAGAAGGGAGGTGCACACTTGTGAGAGAAAGGAGGAGGAAGACCTTGTTTTGGGACGTGTTGGATCTGAGGGACCACCATGTAGAGACCCAGTGAGTAGGGTCGCAATGTTCAGACCTCACGGAGGAAGCAGGGGAGGGGCCCCTACTTATCCATCCATCTGATACTGAGCGCCCACTATTGGGAAGTGATGGTTTCAAGGTACTTGGGGTCGATGGGGAGAGAAAACGGTCGGAAACTTCTGCCTCCATGAAATGTAAGTTCTAGGGAGGGCAGGGAAGCAGACAGGACAGTAAACACCACTCATAACACGCAGATAAGCTGCTTAGGATGTACGGAGGTGGAGAGTGAGACCGGAAGGCGGGTCCGGGTTAGGGCCGTGGGGAGCAAGTATCAGTGAGAAGGCGACACCGACCCAGGGGCAAAGTCCCTACGGGGTGAGGATTGGCCAGGGGGCTACAGGGGGAGGGGGGG